AAGCAGGACTTGCCGGGGTGATTGATACAATCACGGTGAGCATAGCTCGGGATAGTAAAGGCGTTCATAACATGAACTGAGCCATCGGCTTGCGTAATCGCTTGGGGGTGGTGGCGCAGGAGCCGCAACGGCGTGTGTGACAGCTGCAAGCTGTGTTCGCGTTTGAAGGGTAGCGGCAGAGCCGTTGTCACCCAGAGCAGACGCTCGTTGGAGACGGTTCGTAATAATACGCCGAAGAGAGGCCCAAACGTCAGCGACGACAACGGACTGGTTGGCGGCGCGCGCGGTGGCCACAGAGTTGGTCACGACTTCCCACAATTCATTGTCACCAATAAAGGTGTCGGACATCGCACACAGAGTGAATTAATTCCAGATATGGTTGTGGTAGTTGACGGACGAGATCGCCGATTGATCCAGAGGATTGAACGACGGCGGCGTCATAGACACACGGTAGCGCTTGACCAAGTCAATAAGCTCCACGGAGAGTGTGTCAATGCAACTATCATCGGTGAACTTGAGAGTGCGTAGATAGCTGGCAATGACTGTGGGGTTGTTGTCCATGGGGTTCGACTCGAAACGAGTCTTGATGTGCTCAAAGAGCTCAAACGGACACGTAGTAGCCTGATAAAGGCGCCGGAGGTTCGTAGAAATGGCTAAGACCAAGAAGGTGTGCGCCGCAGAGCGTTGATTCGCCAGTTTCTTGGTCGCCTCACGGGAAATGACCTCGCGTTGGATGGCGGTGGTGTGCGCCTTGATCTCAGCGAGACGCGCCTCGCGATCGGTCTCTGACAGAGTCGGGTCGACAACATAGAGCTCAGAGTGCTCGACTTGATCGAGTTCGAGGTACATCTTGCTGATGTTGAGCGCATCAATGCGGTTGCCTTGAGGGATATAGTCCTTGGTAGAATAGAACTCAGCAAGGTCGCGGGAGGTCGCTTGGGACAAGAAGTCCGTCTTCCACAAGGTGTAAATAACCATCAATGCCATAAAGCATTTGTTGGATTTCCAGTATTTGCCAGTTTGAGGGCCGCGACATGTTGATCGCTTGACAGTGAAGTCGGCCAAGCATCCGAAAGGATCGTTTTGTAGACAGGTCACGAGTGCATTACCATATTCCATCCACCAACGACAAAACAAAGTTGGGAACGGCATCCCAAAATTCTCAATGCCCCCCACCATCGGATATTAACTCCTCGAAGTGCCATTGTTGGCTGTGTGGATTCGTTGACTTGGCCGCTTAGGGGAGGAAACTACTGCGATATTCATTGGCCTAATCGGCCGTAGATGCATTCATGCTAGAATGTATGTACAATTCACTCCACACTTCTATTACACCGGAGTATCATTTGCTCGGCATTTGGAATACTTTAATCAAGTCTAAATTTGGCAAATCAATTACTTTGATGGTACCTTTACAATTTTATTACAAATCTGGCGCATAATAGTTGTCACGTTCGATTTCTTATTGGTGGAATTTTTGTAATACTTCACCGTTTTTGCTTCTGATTGGTGCAATCGATAGCGTAGGATCTCCTCTTTGATTGGCTATTTCCAGGTCCTCTCACTTCGTTCGTAGTTTTGATGCTACGACATCAGAACTGCAGCACGCGAAGAACAAAATGTGGTGCTTCACCCGCCAGGCTATGAGACGTCGTCAGTTCACATACACTTCGATTCCTGTAGCATTATACATCTCTTCTAAAGCTTCTCTCTGGCGCGCAACGCAGTTTGGCCTGTGTGTAGTCCAGTAGCTCCACCAACGATGGGAGGACGGCGATGTCCGCGCCATGCTCTTATTGCTACTAGGGAACTCTTCGAGAGTTCGTACTCCGCTGAGTGAACCTATAGATTGAATGCTACATGTTATTCATTGAAAGCGTGCTCGCACCATACCTCTGAGCTGACATACAGCCATGCGTCACCAAGCCATCTCGGAAGCGACCTGCCATCACCCGATTCTGGTGTATTTACCTATGTAATCCGATACTTCTTATCGAATTAGACAGGTTTATTCGGAAAACTCAAGATTTGGCATACATAAATCAAGTGAAATGGAGGCGACAACTATTGTGCGCCATTCACAGTCAATTTCAAACATTTCAATTGACTTGCGTTTGATTCTAACTATAGAGCTTGGACTAAGGATTGGTTCTTTCAGAATCATTGGCAACTGTCTACCCTGGACGCCAAAATCGGAGTGTTTACCAACCTTTCAGGAGCTTATCACAAGGAATCGATAAAATGTGGCCATTCTATTATATTTGGATAGTGTAGTTTTCATAGTGCACGACGGGTCGACCCCTTAAATCCGTTCAGCATCGTTATCAACTACCAACTCAATAGTTCCCCGATCTGTGCGTGTTGCGCTCGACAAAGCGCATAACGTTATCTGGGGTTGCTTTCATTCAATCCGTACACAACACTGGCGTTGGTGCCAACTCAGCACGTGAACTCCATCGAATCGGTGCCATTACAAAGTGTACACATTGTCCGATGCTTCGTCACCTCGCTTCCTGCTTGGCTTGTCCGTTCGCAATAGGTCAGCTTACACAACTCGCACGCTAACCGAGTGGATTTTATATTTAGTTGACATTGGCAATTAAACCGCGTGGATTCTATATTTAGTTGAGATTGGAGCACACATTGCATTTCGATGGTATGGCGAGGCCTTTTCCGGGCGTTGGGTTGGGCTACAGGCCTCACGCTGGTGTCTGCGGGGTCGGCTGCCTCGTGGAATGATTTGGGGGCGTTAAAGATGCTGCATTGGGCGACAGGGGGGCCTTCGTGGACGACTTCATGGCCAGTGTTAGATACCAAAAGCGATCCATGTTTGGACCATGTAAGTCCCTTGCATTTCCCCTTCAGCATGGCCACAGTATCCCAAGGAACAAACGCCAGAATGGAATACATGGGTTCACTCAATCCGATGATTTTGCCACTGTAGTGGTACGGGGTGCTATGCAACACACGTGGCGAAATACTTGCTTTGTAAGTCGACCATCCCATATTCATCTAATACGATTGCACTGGAACATTTCACATTCAACCAGTTATCTCGATATGTTCAACCTGTAGGAAACTCAGTCACAACAACCTTCGAGGGTTCGTGCCTACCAATTTCGCTCGACTGACCGCCCTTGAAGTTTTGTACGAACACTGATATGTGTATCCCCTCCTTCCTAAGACATGTATTTGCCTAGGGATCTCAGCTCCAACTACCTTACGGAAGCCCTACCCCCCGCGTTGGGGAATCTGGTGTCGTTGCAAACCCTTCGCGTTGATCACAATGCATTTACGGGCCTTGTGCCAGAGACAATAGCACAACTGCCGCATCTTCTGACGCTGTACGAACCACTAACTCGAGTGTGTCGTCAACTGGATTACGAATCCTTGTGCGTTTTCTTTACGCGTGTAGGACGCTAGAATCGAACCAATTCGAGTCGCCGCTGGCCCTGGCACTGTACAACTTGCAAACGCGTCGGGATGTATACGTGTCGTACGACCTCGTCATGGCCCCAACTCGTTTTGACCCACAATAAAGATTCAACCTTGTCGATCGCAGGAGCATCACATCCATCGCTACGTCGTTAACAAATTAACGTCTAAAACGGCGAGTAGGTTCACTAGTACTCGACTACAATTTGAATCGTCCAAATATAACTTCTTGGTCATGACCGGAGTTATAGTAACGTTACGTATAGTATGACCAAGAGGTGTGTAACGTAGAATGCCAATAGGGGGGAAGTGTTATCGGCCGTTCGACTTCCCGTGCCTGAGTGTGGGTAGCTGAATGTTGGTCACGCACGACATTTGAATAGTGTGACGTATGACCTGAATTTGGAGAGGCATATGTTCCGTGCTGATGGTACATCTTGACTTTCCAGACTTAAACTTCGATTCGAACTTCGAAGCTTGCAGACTTTGCTCGGAAACAGGTCTGAAAAGTCCGCAGACATCTGACTTTCCGAGCCAATCAAATTGCTCTATTGGGGTTTGCTTGCGAAATCTCCACTCACACCAACATGCTCCGACTCGCTTCAGCCGACGCATAGAGTAGTTAAGACTACCTATGCGTCAGGATAGTGCACAAGCATGGGTATGTACAGTGATACAGGACGCTAGTCTGAGTTTGTAGCTCAGGGCAGTACATCACAGTATACTCCCCGCCGCCGCGCACAAGCCGCCGATGATTGCAGCCTGATCAACCTATGCCAAGGCATGGACGACGGGCGGCGAGCTCGGTCCTTACTACGTAAACCTATGTTTGGTCGCCACAATACTTGACGGCCAGACAGAGGGAGAATCTTGACTCAAGATCCTCAAACTTCGAAAGCAGCGGGCATTAGGACCAGGCTTCGGACTTACAGTTAATATATCTTTGAGATAATAATCTAGATAAAATAGCAAAAATAATCTATTTCTTATGTGACGTTGGATGCAATAATCTATTTTTAGTGCCAGCAGATATCGATCATCTATTTTCAAGCTTCGTCCAATTATCCTCAACACACCTTCGCCACACCATTTTGACAATGGTTTCGTTACGCAGCTGACTGCTGCTGAGAAGGATGCATTGGTCATGCTCCTGTTGGATCCTGGCACGGTTGCAGTCCCCAGCACGCCGTTGAGCTACGCGGACGAACTTTTGGCTCCAAAACGTCGCCGAATGGGACCAACAGCAAGCAAGTACTGCTGCTTGAAGTTTGTCGGTGCAACGAGCAACATGGTTGAACGGCTCTTCAACATCGCGAAGTACATCATGACAGACCATAGAAAGCACATGCATCCGGTGAATTTCGAGATGATCATATTCCTTCGCGCGAATGCATCGTATTGGAATGTTTACTCCCTTGTGTCATAATATATTTGAGCAATTATCGATATTTTGCATTTGCAAACAATTATTTATTATCGAGGTCGTCGAATATCGTGAAATCTATTGGCCGAGGCGCCATTTTAGATAGTCGCAATAAATATATTATTTCGGAAGCCTGATTAGGACCGCTGAGCTAGTCCGAGTCCCTACAATCCAAAGCGTTCGATGACTATCGTTTCATAATGTCGCACATGATACACAAATCCACATTCTACATGCCCTTATGTGTCTCTCGTTGAATTGCGCGCAATGAAGTCATACCGGTAGGCACAGACTAAGAACAGGAGAAGGAATAATGGATGGTGTTGGCTTGGTGTGTCGGGATTTACTTTTGACTTGCTAAATCTGAATTCTTTAAACTTCCAACTTCAGACATCGATAAAATCGAAGTACAAAGTATGTAAACTACTCACATTTCGCACTTGCTAAAAGTCTCTAATGACAATTTCAAAGCACTGGCAAGACAGCACGGGCACTAATATTCAACTTTTATACGGATAATTTTAAGTCAGAAGCGGCTCAAATATACTTTGTGACAGTTTCTGAAGTCCCCCATTGTTCTCCCAATCAACATTTGGCCATCACACTATCAACCTCCGTAGCAATCCCACCCAAGTGTGCCGCAAAGTTGTGTACTGTACGTACTTCGAGCACGATGATGTATTGAGATGAGAAGTCAAGCTGGACGAGCCCAACGAACCGCCCCGTTGAATTTAACCTGATTTGAGAGCCACGCTAATGAACAAGTAAGCTCGTGTGAAACAAAAGACTTTACATTTCTTACTCAAAATACATACAATGGACTTCGGCAGTGTTGACTAACACCCCTGACCACCGGCCAAGAGGTGGCACGACGTGGATTCAAACATGGTCATCATGATGGACGTGACGGTGACAGAAAGGATGACGAACGTCAATACGATGATCAACGCGCCTATGACGGGGTACTTCGCTCCGTGTTGGAGCATTTCCTTGACAGCAGCCTTTTGGGGCGGCAGGATCACCACCCAGCAGCATGCAAGGACAGTTGTCCCATACACAACCAAGTACGAGTACGCGGCGTGGTTGCGGACTTCTGCCGTGTCAGTCTCAATGTCGGCTTTGCCAACTTTGAGCTGCGTTGAGTATACATTGGTGACCATTGTTCCAAAAGTCAAGGGGAGGTTGCCCGTGGTCGTGAGCAGGCCGTACATGAGGCCTTCGTTGCCATCGCCCGCCAATTCAATAACCACAAACGTGGACACGACGAATTGGATGGCGTTGGGAACTTGTGCGGTGAGGGGGACGCCAATGTAGAACCACTGGTGACGCACGATGTCATAGATGGTGAGGTACTGCACAATGGCATCGATGACAGCGGCACCCAACGTCGCGATAACCAAGATGAAACGCCAGTTCCAGTGGGTGCCCCACTGGCCGACGGCGAAAAACGTGGTGGCTACGATGAAATACGTGATCACGCCGACCACGGCGTTGTTGACGGGCTCGACGTGAGCCCAGTAGACCTGGATGTAGCTGCCCGCCAACGACGCGATCCCGGTCGCGAGGAAGTTGAACATGAAGTAGAAGATCATGACTTGCCACACGGCGCGCTTCTGGATGAGTTCGTACACGTCGTGAAAGTACGTGGCAAAGTGGATGGCGCCGCGCTTGTGGTCTTTCATAAAGAAGTACACCAAAAGCACATTCATGACCACGGGCACCGCGAGGATCCCGAAGTATGCGTTCACGCTGATGTCAAACCCAAACTTGCCGCCGTAACGCTCCGAGCTCATAAGGAACCCAGACATTGCGGTGGCCAGTCCTTCAAAAACGTAGCGTGCGCCGTAGATGCACGACTGCAGCCGCCCACGCACGCGTACGGGTTCGCGTTGGGATAATTCCACCACCAAGGCGTCAGATGCGACGTTGGCCATGATGTAGCAGAAGCTGGCCAGGGCGCTGATCAGCACGATGACCGACCCGTAGGACTGCGCGGCCTTGATGTTCTCGTCCGATCTGTCCAAGATCACCGACGGACCCACCGGCTTCAACGCTATCGCCACGAAACAGATCGCAGTCGTTACCCATCCAATCAAAATGTAAGGCTTGCGGCTGTAGCCCATGATGGGAAAACAATCCGAGAGCAGGCCGAAAAAAGCCTTGAACGACCACCCCAGATTGATGAGACCATTTGAAGAGCTCAGCGTGGCCGACTCCAAACCAAAGTAGTAGGTCAGGATGGGCAGCCCCATGCCCTCGAGTCCGGCGCGGCAGAAACCCACCACGGCGTACTGGAAGAGAAGAGTCAAAACTTCGGGGGAGGTGTACACGAGCGGACCGCCTTCGCGCAGGGCGCCGTCCTCGAGTTCCAGCGGGGTACTTGCGTCTTTGAACCCGTCGACATCCTTGTCGGCCTGTTTGGTGATCGACGCGATGTACGACACGCGTTCTTGGAGGAGATGGTTGACTGGCATGGTAAATTCAAAATTGAGAAGATGAGACTGTGTTCAAGCTCGAACACTGAAACGGGACCAGTAACTGTTGGAAAGGTTGTTGAACTAGTATGTAGTACTTGAAGTAGTAGTCTTTTTCACCAGATGGGATAGCAATGAGTTGAAGTTCACGATTTCGAACAAATCCATACAGTACAGTGCTTTGCGTCAGTGCAACTCTGCATGTGTATTTGAATTCTGTATGCATAGTGAGTGGTACACACCAAGAAATTGCCACAACTGTGATTTATATTATTGTGCTTTTCATGTAGTTTGCCCGTTGTTTAAATGCGTTAAACAACCAGACGTTTAAAATAATATAAGCCCAATTGAAGATAAAACAACGCTAAACACAAGTTCTGCATTTCAGCAGAATAAAACAACCCTTACTTTATTTCAGCTGCTAACTAATCGAGTTGCAGCACCAGGCCAACTAACGCCGTACAACTACCAGTTCATCACGATGCATACCGTATTAGGCTGTTAAATGGGAGTACTATACATCGTGTAGTCGTACGTACAGTGCTAAGGTTAGAGCAGATCAAGAATTGTAGGTATGGCATAGCTTTGAATCATTGGACAGAGCGACGACTACATGTACTGTAGCCTAACTATATCCCTAACGTTATACACATTACTCGGAGTAGATAATGTTAGTACTGTAGTGATCACGGATGGGGGGTCATGTGTGTGGCCATAGCTCCTTCAGTTTCATTGCGTCAAGCACCTTGACATGTTGACGTAAAGCAAGTTGTTTGCCAGAATGAAAACGGCAAACAACTTGTTTTACGAAAGTGCCAGTAAAACCACCTTCAACCAACCATCGCATTAGATGAAGTAACTTTAAACAACGCACCCAACCGTTATTCAAGTTACTTTAGACATTATTTAAGCCTGAGAAATTTTTAAACAATGAATTTAACCCTGGAATTGCCAAAAAAGGTGCAAAGCACAATACTGTAGTACTAGTATTATTTTTGAAGAGTTGCCCTGACCGAGTTTCTCCGCAAAGCACTGTATCGGTACGGCTTCACGGAGCCGAGAACATCACATTCGGCCATTATCCTTGATGTGTGGGTCTATACATGTCAGGCTCTACATGCACTGGAAAGGGCAATATGTCGATGCAAAAGCATCTCGATGATGACGTGTCTCAGCAATTCTGTCATACAGTTTTACAGAATATTGATACGTATGCAGTAACAAGCCCGAAATGCTGGGTCACAAGGCGTCCCCGTAATACAGTAGGTCCCTCCACCCAAGGGTACATATAGCTACTACGCCTAGACAACGAACGCGATGTTCACCAATTCTATCGTGA